TATATATATATATGTATATATCAAAAATATAGTTAATCCATTTACATATAATGTATACATGTATGTATATTGTGTGCATATGCGTGCGCATGTCATATTTTCTATAGAATACAAGACTTCTATTGTAGAGAAAATTCTATCTCTCATTGCTATTTTTCTTTTATTTTGATTTGAATATGGACCGATGATTTTTATTACATTTAATTATGCAGGCTATTATTATTCACACTCACAATGAATCTTTCGTTTACTCTTCTCTCGATGAACATTGTGCACTTTGTATAGAACATAATCGTTTCCCGTCTTTCTAAAAGCATTCATCTGAAAATGTATCCTGATGTATTGCCTCAGAGTTTGCCCTTCTAAGATTTCAAATATTTTGATACAAAAATAAAGCAAACAAGTTCTTATATCTCACTAACTTGCTTTAAACTCAAGCTTTACACACTGTCGTATAAGAATCAACAATACTGACCTGGCATTGCTATCTAAAGTGTTCTAAAGTTAACAAGTCTTATACCTCTAAGTGTGTATATGCATATTTCACGATTAACGCGATTAATATCTTTCTTTTGAAATCGATGCGAGCAATTCTTTTTTTAAAAATAAAAAAAATATATATATATATATATATATATAGCACGGCTTTAAAAAAATTTATATAATCAATCAAGAAAATTCATTACTCATTTCCCGGTTTTTTAAAATAAAGTTATTGACAAAAAGAAATTTTTCGGTTTTTTTTTAATTAAATTATTCGTAAGTTGAGCTTTTATTGACATATACTTTTACGAGCGGTTTGCAGAACCCGTTATTCGAGCAATAAAAGATATCTTATTTTTTGTGTTAATAATAAGATCCACATAAGGATCATAAAAATAGGGTAATTCTCGGGTCTTTGAGATTTCTTTTCAAAACTAAAATCAATAACTACCAGAGCGGGAGAGCCATTGCCGAGAGACCTAAATTCTGGTTTATACCAGGTGGCACGACCAGCCATAGGAACAGCAGTTTATTTGTCGCGATAATGTTTCTCGCACGTTGTCAATACAATTATGATAATAGGATCCGTTCAACTAACAATAAGATGTACTTCTTGTAAAAGAAGGAATAGTTTATAATTGATATAATCATTAATTTTTGAAATTTACCATATTATTATTAAAATACGCTAAGATATTATAAGACAATTTTTTATTTTTGTGTCATAAATAATTTAAATAATTTTTTTAAGTGAAAGAGATTGATATGGTTTTGTCAAAAAATATATGCACTATTTTTTTAACGAATCTATCATAAATCTTTCAATTATACCGATTGAAATGATAGGAATCTATAAATTATTATATGACAGATATATAAATTATAATGGATAATTAAATAACGCGAAATGATAGAATTTGTTATTAAAGTTTATTGCATCATTTTTAGGTAGCTGTCAATAACCATAATTTCATTTCCCACACGATTATGAATTATATTAACCAGATGCTGAAACTGCGAAATGTCACTAATATGTCAAGATCGACATAGTTAATTGTATCTTGTTATCCGAGTCACGTTCCAGAGAGAAATCATCGTAATAATGACGTGCAAATATAAATGTACATTGTAAAAGCTATTTTTGCCAAGTGTATGATTAATTAAAATTTTAAAATTTTATTATGTATATAAAAGTACATCTCTATCACACTAACACATTATAATCTTCCCATGAAAATGATCGATAAATCTATTGAAATACAAAAAAAATACAGTATATAATATATACAGTATACAATATATAAACTTAAATGCATCTCGTGAGTATGCCACCGGGTAATGAAGATCAAGATTAGAAAGTGGCGATGTGTTATACAAGGTGTCCCAAAATTAGACCGACAAACTTCAGGTGATTATAAAGGACATCAAAACAAGTCAATTTTGTCAATAAACCTCTGTCCGCAAATGAGTCGTTTTGGCACTAGAGAATCAAAGACTAACAACGGCAAAATTCTTCGAAAAAAATTATTTTTTCAAAATTTTATTAAGGTGGTTAAATAGAAGTGTTTTTATCATAAAACTTTTGTATAAAACCTTTTTTTGATATCTCGAATAATTTTCTAGATATATCGAGAAAAGCAAAAAGCCGCTCTACATATGAAAGGTGATTTCAGTCTTTAGAATCATTTTTGGACCATAACTGGGAATTTCTAAATTCACCTATTTACCCTCCTCCCCCCCCCCCTACATGTGTAAAGTTTTATCAAAATCAGAATTTTCGGATTTGCGAGGTTCCCTTGTTAGTCTTTGATCCTCTAGTGTCAAAACAGTTCATTTGCGGACATGGATTTATCACCTTGTTTTGGTGTCCTTTATAACCATCTGAAGTTTGTCGGTTTATTTCTGGGACACCCTGTATACCTTGTCTCTTTGGTTTACGCTATTCCCTTTAAGCCTGTGACGCTTCTCTCCGACGTTGGTGGTTGATTTATCGGTGTGGCCAGATGAGCGGCGAGGGTTGTCCGAGGTCGGGCATCATGGTTTTTGTTATAACAGGTTTTCGCCTCTTTGGTGACTCGAGGGTTCAAAAAAAAAAAAAAAACGATGGGAATAATGCCGGCGATATGGACATATATATGTTCTTTTCGTATGTTTTCGCATCGATCATGTTAATTCCAGCGGAGTAACGACGATGCGGGTCTTCGGAAAATTTTAAACCGTTAAGTACTGAACACACTTTTAAAACGTTTAGAAGGTAGACAAATATTTGTAGTGGAAAGGAAGGGAGGAAGAAATGATAGAAAAAAGATATTTTCCATATATTTTTAAAAAATATTTTATACTTTTACAAAGAAAAAGATCTTATATCGTCCCAAATAAAGAAGCATGAAAAGAAATTAGTCAAATATTTTTTCTTTTTTTTTACACTAAATATAAATTTGCAGAATGATATATATGGTGTTTAACTGTTGGGGGAATAAGATTACCATTTACCAGCATAAGAAAACTTGTAGAGATTTGAGTCTTAATCCAAGAAATTTTAAGTACGATGACAGTGATGTACAATATGTACAATTTTCTCGAGATTGTTTCGATGCAAATATTCCTAAAATTATCGTCGCGACTATCTACAGATGAAATGCATACGTAATTGCGAAGAATCTCCCAGTCTTAAGTGATGCTGGAGGGCAAAGAGTACAGCAA